ACCCCCAGGTAGAATCTTTTCACCTTTTCTTTATGGGATGAAGCGCCAATCTCCCACAGTGCTAACTTGTGTTTAGAAATATGATCCCCTGTTTAAGTTTAACTCTTAACCTTTCAAAGAAACTAAAAACTCACAATAAAGACGGTCCTGGGAAAAGTTTAAATAATTAGCTAAACCTTAGCCAGTCTACAAAATGCAGATAAACAAACAATAAACCAATCCAAACTGCCTCCTACTGATTAAGTGAATGACAACCAATCCTTTTAAATGTCCCTTTTAAGTTTCTCCTAAGATTCCTGGTGTGGTGCTGTGGGTTAATGCGCTGGATTGCAAAATCACTTTGAACCACAAGATCGGTGGTTCAAGCTCACCGACTGCTCCTTGGAAACTATGCAGGGTCACTCTGGGTCGGAACTAACTTGATGGCACTGACAACAACAAGAGTTTGTACTGTACGTAAGCTAATCAAGATTATAATGTGACAAGTTCATCTCTTCTGAGAGGTACTCCCTGTTGGAAAGCAATAACTTTTTAACACTACTTGATTTATTTAACAGATTTTTTTTTTCTTTTATACTGTACCTTCACTGCCTGCCTTCCCTTCTGGTCTGGCTTCCCCACTTCCTTGCAGGTGCTTCCTGAAAAGTGCAAATAAGCCTGCTTTTGCTGGCATCTTGTCTAACAGTCTGATTCTGGGGAACCAAACTAACCCAAAACCATCTTAGAAAATGATCTAATCTAGCCCCTCCTCACTACAGATATGGAAAGTAAAACCCAGAGAGGAGAGATGACCTGCGAAAGTCACACCGCAACATAGCGCCAGAGACCAGATCCCAGGCTTCTGACCCTGATCACCACCACAATTCCTTTCTCCCTTTCTACCCATGTGACTCCTACTTGAAATCAATACCTGCAGCGTTATCTCAAATCCTTAAAGGAGTGCTTCCCAGACTTCATTCTTTCACGTATCATTATTTTGCCTCTTTCAAGTTTGTCCTGCCCACATTCATACATATTGTACTAGCTTAATGAATTTAAGTTTACACTTGGTTTGAGGTTTGGGGTTTTGGGTTTTTTTGGGTTGGTTTGTTTTTTTTTTCTTTTTACTTTCAGTTTTAAGAATCAGTCAGTCATACATTTAGTAAATAATACTTACGATTCAAAATTCAAAATGTATAATATTTATAGTGAAAAATCTCCTTCCCATGCCTGCTCCTAGTGTCCCAGAATCAAAGTACCAGATTTTTGCATATCTTTCTCAAAATAATCTCGGGCCCTACAAGTGTACATGTGCTCTTCTAAAAAAAGTATTTTTTTAAGTGAATGCTATATTAATATCACAGAGTCCTGGTGTGGCGCTGTGGATTAATGTGCCCAACTGCAAAGCTGGTTTGAACTGCAAGGTTGGTGGTTCAAGCTCACCAGCTGCTTCTTGGAAACCCTATACAAGGTCGCTATGGATCAGAATTGACTCGATGGCACTTAACAACAACAAATATTAATATCACAAATGAAAAACCAGTATCACTTGCTATAAATAGATAGAAAAAAATAAAAACCACTGCTGGCAAGTCAGTTCTGACTCATAGAGACCCTATATAGAGTTTCCAAGACTGGAAATCTTTTCAAAAACAAACAGCCTTAACTTTCTCCCATGGAGCAGGCAGTGGGTTTGAACCTCTGACCTTTCAGTTAGCAGCCCAACAATACCTAACTCACAGTGTCATTGATTCTATAAATAAAAGGCAAAAATGAAACTACATAAAATTAATACAAAACAAAATTTAACCATTCCAAGAAGCCTTTGCTTGCCAAAGACATGGAGCCTGAAATTTGATCTCTTATTCTGTTAAAAAGATGAGTATATCAGAGAGAGGCTCAGGGCCAAAGAATCCCAAATGTAGACTTTCTCCTGGTCTAAATGGGAAGGATTATGGGAGCACTGAAAAGAGAAGAACATCCTCATATGTGAGTCACAGATGAGCGCCAAGACTATGTCCCAATAAAACCATCAACTTCTCACTGTAAGTAAGGGTTGTCATAGGTCAGTAGTAGAATTCTTGCCTTCCAACCGAAGACCCAGGTTTGGGTCCCTGCTAGTGTAGCTCACATGCATCCACCAAGTGTCAAAAGTGATTGAACAGACTTCAGCAGTGCTTCCAGATTGAGGCAACCTGGGAAAAAGTCCTAGTGACCTCCTTCCAAAACTCAGCCAATGAAAACCCTAAGGGATCATGGGGGTGGTGCAGGATCTGACAGGTTTATTTGGTTGTGCTTGGGGTCTTCAGTGAGTTAGAAATTACTTAATAGCAGCTAACAACATCACTAGTAGAACATCCCATTTGGAAATAGAATTCATCCCAGGGCTTTGAGCTATAAACTAGCTCCCAGTTAGAACTAACTTTGCTACTTAGTAGCTGTATTACCCATCTCTCCTGGTGAATAACCTCATTGGACTGGAAAAGAAATTAGCATAGATGATACCTACTTAATGAGGTAACCATGGTCCAACAAGGAACACCCTAATTAGGCAGAATTTCCCATGACTCATGCTACCATAGCAGCCTTTGGCTCAGAGATCTCATCCCTCGCTCAGTTTTCCACAGGTAAGACCAGAGGGTCATTTTACCTCAGTGCATACAGCTCAAACTAGGGATGTTTTATAGAGAAGGAACCTGTGGCATCTGTGAAAAGAAATCATTTCCTGGCATAGCTCCAACTGGCGTAACTGACAAAGGGCCACAGCTGCTTAATTCCCATGAACAGCTGCCAGCCAACAAGCAAGCCCAGCAGGGACACTAAGGCAGCCCACAAGACTCCTCTCATGGGCAACTTTGACTCAAGGACTCTCCATGACAGTCAAGGACACTTCCACCCAATCAGCCCTGCCTCTCTCCTTCCAATTTACACATAATCTGATGGCTCCCCTTATGTCTCCCCAATTTTCTCTAACAGGCATTCTCCCTAATAAACACCTTAAACATTAAATCCTATCTTGGCATCTGCTTCTCAAAAGATACATCTCCTCAGAAGAAAGTTTTGGACTCTTGGATACCACCACCACCTCTCTGCAGACACCCATGATAGGGAGATCTTGGTGTAGCCAATTCCATGCATTGGGATGTACATTATAAAGGAGGCACTGGAATGATCCGGAATGAAGAGTAACTAAATCTACCTGAAGAACTAGGTGTCAAATGAAGATTTAAAAAAAAATAGTAGTGGTGTTTCAGAAAGATCTGGAACAATGAGTGTGAGGGAAAAGGTATTTCTTGCCAAGTGGCATGGCATGTAGGAAAATGCCCAGAATAGAAACACACAGAGAACACTGACACAAGATGAAGCCAGAAAATGGAGGGTGCCTCAAATGTCAAGCCAAAGACTTGGGACTTTAACCTATAGGTGGCAAGGAGACATTGAAGGATTTTGAACAACTGAGCCACCTGAGTAAATTTGTGCTTTTAGAAAGATTACATGGGGTAAGACTGAAGGCTAGGAAGGCAATCAGGAGACCTGACGATAGGTCATTTGTGTCTTCATACAGATTCAATGAACAAGGAGTCAGAATAAAACAATTTTTATTAATGGTACTGGATTTTACAACCAAATAATCCTTTAAGTTTATTGCTTCATTTTCTAGCTTGAAAGACCTACTCAAAATTAATCCTCTCTTTGTCACCAAGAGCCAGGAGCTTAACAAGGCTTTCCTAAGGAAGTCACACCCAGGAATCACCACTGCCACCCAGGTTTTTCTTACCCCATCCACAACTTCCTTATGCCTCATCTTTTAATCCCATCCCCACTATTCTCCAAAGAAAATCCCCACGTTGGTACCTCTTACCAGAAGTCACCAAACCCTTTCACCCAGCAGCAGTACAACCACCCTGTAAGAGTAGATGACCCCATGCCATCATCTGCCCTGAGAATAGAGCAAAAGTCCTACCAACCAAATCCCAAAAGGCCTCTCCCTCCAGAAGGGATGGACTCTCCGCCTCAATTTTTATTCCAAAGTCCTAGAAATGGGTCTCTGAGTTTAAATCAAAGCAGATGTAAACCAGGAAGTGAGCAGATGGGCTATCTCCACTAGGAGGGGGATGCTTGTGGGGGCTCCTCCAAAAGCAGCAGGGTCCACGGTAGGGCTAACATCAAACTCTTTCTCAGTTTCTCTAAGGCCCAGGACACTCAATAAACATATTCCTGGGCAAAGGGAATAAATTGGAGATAGGTTAATTCATCTCTGTAGCATCCAACATAGGGCAGATTTTCAATGTCTGTAGAATGGAAGAATATACTTGGATTTTCCAAGTGACTAAACAGACTCTCTAAGTCGGTGGTTCTCAAGTGTGATCCTTAGATGAAGTTCTCCAAAATGAGTACGCATCAGCATCATCTGGGACATGTGAGAAATGCATACTGTGTCCTGCCCTAGACCTACTGAATCAGAAACTCAACAAGCTGTGCTCTAATGAGCCCTCCAGGTCATTCTGATACATGCAAGTCCTTTTGGTTTGATAGCATCTGGACATCCTGCCCCAATGCTTCTAGGGGTAAGGGGGTATCCAGAGCTGAAAGGGGCCCTTGCTACAACGCTCGCAGGCTCTTCTGCCCATCCTCATGGGACCAGGCAGGCGTCTTTTCCCTCCCTCCTTCCCTCCCTCGACCTCAGTTTCCTCCTGGAGTCCCTGGGTGCTTCCCCAACTCCCATGAGCCCCTGGACCTCACTGCCCTCAAACTTAAGAGTTTTGACATGACTTAGATAGTCCTTCCCCACTGAGTCCTGTTCATAGCATCACTCCAACCCACCCACCCCACACCCCACCCTCTGCCACACACACACACACACCGTTCTCAGAACTCTGAAATCCCACATCTCTGGACCCCTTGGTGCAGCCTTCAGCTCTGACAACCCGGTCCTCACCAGTCTTCCCCAGACCTGAAGAACAAGGCCTGAGTCCCCACCACCAAGACCCAACACCCCTCCCCAAACTGGGTCAGGCGACTCAGGCCTCCAGGACGTCTTGTCCCACCAGCAGCAGCGGGTGTGCGTTCTTGCCCTTGTCGTGCCAGCACACGTCAAAGAAAGGGTACACAGGGCCAGGGAGGCGCTCCCGGAAGGCAAAGAGCAGCTCCAGCGCATCAGCGTCGCTAGCATCATAGAAGGCAAGGACACCATCTGCGAAGCTTAGGTACAGGCCAATTCGGGTCGGCCGCCTCTCGGGTAAGCGCAGCGCACGCGGCTCCTTGGCCTCAACGTGCGCCTCCAGGATCTTACCATCGCGAAACCCCAGCAGCCAAAGGCCCTGCGAGGGCACTGAGTGCAGCCGGCCACGGCGACTGACTTCGGCGGCGATCAGGCCTAGTGCCCAGCGTGGCTTGTCGCCCACCTCCACCTCCCAATAGTGCTCCCTGTCAGAGAACTGCTGGTGTGCCACCAGCGCCACAGCTTTGTCGAACTGGCGTGGGTCCTCGCCAGCGGGCTGCGGCTTCTGCTCTGAGCACTCCACGCGGCGACCTTTCGCAGACACCACCAGGCTCGGGTGCGCAGTGCTCGGATCGAAGGTCAGCTCTTCCAGCGCTGCCAAGGGGACAAGGGTCAGTCCTGGGAGCAGAGCTACAGTGTGGAACCCCAAAGACAAAGGAGCACTAAACGGCCTTGGAGCCCCTTGGGACTCATAGCAACTCCATTAAGACAGAGTAGAACCTCTTCCTTGAGTCAAAACCTCTCCAAAACTGTCCATCTGTAAGGGAGCAGCTATGGGTTGAAACTACCAACTGTGCAGCCTGATGCTTAACCCACTGAGCCACCAGGTGTCCTTATGGGCACCCTCTTTCATGACTTGTATGGCTGGAGCCTCCCACCAACCACACACAAACTCGACACCAGTTCCTCCCAGTACCTGGCATCAAAGCCCGGAACATCTTCCTCCACACCTGGAATTTGAAGTCATCTGAAATGACAGGCAACTGGATGTCCATGCGGGCAGGGGGTGGAGACTCTGCCAGAATCTTCTGTAGCCTGGGTGTGGGAAGGTATCTGTAAGGGGTCTGCCTAAAGGAGGCATGAGCAAAGGATGGGGGAAGAACAAGAAGTACCCCAAGGAGGACCAGAACTGTGATGGAGTTCCAGGGTCTGTCCACATCACACCCCAACTTAAAGCCCTTTCTTTGAGGTAAGGTCCAAGTTCCACAGCCGCCACCGTTTGCCCCCACCTGCTGCCACACCCGTTTCATCTGTTTTCCCATGTACTAACCTTTATACTGCAGTACTTTTCCTCCAATTCCTTATCTAGACAATTCGGACTCATTCCCAGGGCCCCACTAAGGGTCCCCACTTTGAAAGTCTTTCCTAACTATTCCCTTCCCTCCCCAACAGCACGGAGCACACAGAGGTGCCTGTGTACCTCTGGCCCAAAGTCTGAGAGGTCCCTGAGGGTAAGGACCAGTTCTGGTTCATTTCTATGAAAAAGCCTAGTACTATGAAAAAACAGTGGATTGAATGGAGGTACAGGCATGATGCTGTCCCTAGAAGACTGGGGCTGGTTGCGGAATAGGGCAGGACCAGGTTGATCTCACCTGCTGGTCACCAGGCAGTATTTCTGGAGAGAGAGAGAGAAGAGAGGTGAGGAAGACAGGGGGATACTGTGGATCTCCAAGGATGGAGGGTGGTCTCAAGAAGCATCCGAGAAATCAAAAGAAACTAGAGGCCACCGTAGCCCTTTACCTCTTTGTGAATTTTAAAAGGTGCCCTCTTCCCAAAAACTCTAATTCCACCTGTTAGGAGGCTGTCCTAATAAATACACAAATCTATCATTTCTGGAGTCCTGGTGTGGCACTGTAGGATAAGCACTGGACCATTAACACCAAGGTTGGCTGTTCAAACCCACCATATAAAGGGTTGATATGACTCAGAACCAACTCAACAGCACTTAACAACAACCATGCCTATAATACAAATGGTATCCACTTGTGCAGTGTTCAACCTAAGCAACTATAACACCAGTTTGGGGCCCAGTCCTCCTCAGTGTGTGACTCTGGCTCACCCCTGGCCCTCTCTGTACCTCATGGTCCCTGTCTGACGATGGGAAGAGATCTCTGGGGACTGAGCACTCACCATGAGGAACTCAGTCTGCTGCTTGTCGGCTACCTCTCCCAGGACCTTCTCCATCTGCCTCAGCTGTTCCAGGTAAGAGCTCAAGGCCCCCAGCTCCCGCTGGAGGGCAACCCCAGCATCTTTCCGCACACGCTCTGCTTCTTGGTCCAACGAGGCCTCCAATGCAGCCAGGAACACACGCATCTTACCCAACTGCTCCCCAACGGCCCCCCGGAACTGACGCACTGTCTCCTGAGGAGAGGGTGGACAAGCAAAAGCACTTGGCTGGGACCTCCCAGACTGGACCCCAAGCCCCAGTCTGTGCCCTCACCTCCACCTCTGTTAGCTGGTGCTCCAGAACTGCCATGCTCTTCTCCTTACGCATACAGGCCTCCTGCAGTTGCAGCTTCTGCTGGGGCAGCTGTGTCTGCGGAGTAGATCAAGAAAAGTGAGGGGAAACCCACGCCTGCCACCCTAAGCCTGCTTTCTCCAGTTCCTCCTCCAACCTAATTCAGGGAATCCCTGCCCTTCTCCCCTGGTCTATTATGTCAACCCCTCCCTAGCCTTGCCTTCCTGTCCCCTCAACAGACCTTTAACTTTAGCAGCCTCCCCCACCAGACAGCAGGCTTCAGGGGGTGAGTGTAGGATGTATGAAAGAAGAAATGAGACCTCCCCTATTCCTGAGTCTTCAACCCGGTGACTGCTGTTCTGACCAATGAAACACATCAATGAGCAGGATCCTAGCCCAGGCCTGTCTGCTTGGGACTCCTGAATTGTAGGTATGTTGTTGTTGTTGTTTTCAAGTGCCATCGAGTCAGTTCCGACCCATAGCGACCCTGTATAGGGCTTCCAAGGAGCTGCTGGTGAGCTTGAACCACCACTTTGCAGTTCAAACAGCTTTGCAGTCTGGCGCGTTAACCCACAGCGCCACACCAGGACTCCGAATTGTAGGTATAGAGAAACCCTAATCAACAAACAAGCCAACAAAAACCCCAATTTCAATTCATAGCATCCTACAGGACAGGGTAGAACTAACTGCTCCTTAGGGTTTCTGAGACTGTAATTTTTTTTTTACCTTTTTATTGTGAATTGAGTAAATGTTGACAGACAAGATCATCAGCTTTACATTCAACAAATCATACATTTTATTTTATCTCCATATTTACAATCCCCTCCAGGCAGCCAGAGTTACAGCCCACTTCCTCCGTGTGCTTCCTATTTGCATATCACCCACCTTCCTATCCCTTCTCAAGTTTGTCCTTAGAAAAATGTTGCCCTTTTGATTTTGAATGATTGACCATTCCATCATGAGTATACTTTGCTAGTGTTGTTGTTCCTCTCTAAAAACCAATCTACTACTTGGCTGAAATTTGAACCATGTGGTGAGTTCCTCTCCAGACCTAAAACGTGGTCAAGGACCATAGTCCCAGGTTCCTCCAGTCTCTTTCTGACCAGTAAATCCAGTTTTGCTTTGTTTTGTTTTGTTTTTTTTAAGTAATTCTGAGTCTTGTTCCACGTTTTCTCCCACTGTATCAGGGACCCTCTAATGCGATCCTTTTCAAAGATAATGGTAGTGGGGCACCATTTACTTCTTCTGGTCTCAGAGGTGTGGAGACTGATGTGCACACGTTCCATGAGTCCACTGGACTAATTGATTCCAAACCTCTTCAATTCTCATCACTCTTCTTTCTTCTGCACGTGGAGCGACCAATAGCTGCACCTTAGGCGGCCACTCATGAGCTTTCAAGATCCCAGACCCTACTCACTCCAGCAGGATGTAGAACATTGTCTTTGTGGACTATGATGCCAGTTGATCCCAGTGTCCCCTGAGACTATTGTTCAGAGCCCCTAGGCCTATTAACTCATTGCTTTAAGATGTTTGGTAATATCTAGGAAGTTTTCAGCATTTTGCCTGTTGTATGTTCTACCACATTCTTAGTTGTATTTGTATGAAAGGTAAATACTCATATACAAATAATCCTTTCAAACTTATACATTTGTGGGATATACTAATATATAAATATATATATATATTCTACCTCCCTTAACCATTCCACCTATGTCTCAATCATGTATATACGCACAGAGCACTGTCATTCCAAGGTTGTGTATTTATCACTATTGACATCTCTCCCCTTTAGCTCATGCATGTCTCCCTGTATCGTCACCTAGCTTCATTATTCTTCTGTCACTCTCCCTCTTCTAGTGAATTGCCCTCCACCTTCTTGTACATTGCCCTCCCCAGCACCTAGCTAACATGTGTCTGCCCTCGCCAGTGAATTACTCTCCCCTCTGTAACCATCAAAACAATGTTTCTTTCAGTATGGAAACCTTTTCTTAAGCTTTTACATTAATAGTCTCATACAATACTTGTCCTTTTGTAGTTGACTAGTGGCGCTGTGGGCTAATGCATCAGACTGCAAAGTCGTTTGAACTGCAAGGTCAGTGGTTCAAGCTCACCAGCTTTTCCTTGGAAACCTTATACAGGGTCTCTATGGATCAGAATCGACTCGATGGCACTTACAACAACAACAATTCCATTCAGTATAATGTCCTTCAGGTTCATCCATGTTATGAAGTGTTGACTGTGTATCTTTTGAACCGCCAATCTTGTGGTTAGCAGCCTAGGACCACAGTCCCGCCTCCCTGACTTCAGAGTAGAGTTTTCTACTCTACAGAATGGAACAGCATTCTATCCCCCACCTCACCTGTGGCTATGACAAACTGGCGTCCTTCTCCCCCACCCCCATCCCAGTGGGGAAACTGGGAGACTCCAACTGGCCCCTCAACATGTTGCCTGCTGTGGCAGTCCCCCCACCCGTCGGACCCCAGGGTCAGACCAAGGGCTTCCCTGGCTGGCTCCCAGGTCAGTCTCCTCCCAGGGACATCCTCTCAGATGGCAGCCGCACCTGCTGCGGGGTTGGGCAGGGCATGTTGGGTGACTTAATGCGCTGGGCATCAGAGGTCCAGAGAAGGCAGGGCTGAGCCATGAGAAGGAGGCGCGACGCCATCCTGGAGGCTCTGGAAAACCTGACAGCTCAAGAAGTTCAAGTTGAAGTTGGGGGTGATGAAGCTGCGTGAAGGCTTTCCGGAACATTCCGGGGTGCTCTCGGACCGCTAGACACCGTAGACCTCACTGACTAATTGATCACCTATTACGGTGAGGACTATGGCGCTGAGCTTGCGGCTGGTGTGCTGATGGATATGGGCATGCAGGAAGAGGTGGCGTGGCTTCAGAGTGTCTACTCTTGTGAGTCCCAGGCGCTAGGTGGGTCCCCTTCTACCACTACGTATTCCACGCCTGGGCTCTGGTCCCAGCTGCTTGTGCCCACCAAGGATCCAGCTCCCATCCCTCACGAGTCTCTATCATTTCTGGTGTCCTGGTGTGGCCCTGTTCCTCAGATCCTTCCTGGAGTACCCCTTCACTCCTCTAGCTCCTTCCTGCTGCTTGGGGCTGGAGAGAAGCAGACCTAGGCAGGCTGTATCCATACCCACTTGTCCCCTAGAGGTTCCTGGACCCCTGGCACTCGCTGCCATTTCACGGGTTGTACGTTCTGGGCTCAACAGGAGAGGTGAGCCTGGGCTAGGAACGTTCCTGGGAGGAGTCTACCTCCCTGGACAGGGAGACCACCAGCCAAGGCATGGGGGCCAAGGCTTAGAGATGTGGGAGGGACAGGGAGGCTGGGCCCTAGGAAAGTCTGAGGAGACTAAGGACGAGGTCTATCCCTCTAGAAGTCCAGGGGCAGTGCAATGCTGATACAAAGATGAAGCCCAGAAGTCTACCCCAGTGCCAGCCCTGAAAACAACAAGGACAACATCTTTACTGTGCTGATCCCGCCCCTCCCACCCTTAACAATCTAATAAACATGGCATGACAGATCTTCCTGGCCTGCGTGGACATTTACACGTGTCCACCTACATTTACTGCATGTGTATGTTGCCTGTGTACCTTGGAAAGTTCTGGAGGGTTGTGCACACATGTCTGCCTGTGTTAGTGGTGGTGTGCACAGAGCCATATCTAAGGGATGGCTCTGAGAGCCACTTGAGGTAGTGGGGTACCAATGAGCAGTTTCTATTAGCCATCCACTGCCAGCTGTGAGGGACCAGTCAGTCACTTAACACTAATTATCATTGACTCGTCATTACAAGAGAACTTCAAAGAGTTCCTGAAAATGAAATGAACAGATAATGAAATTTTTCATGAACTTTCTGAAGTCCCTTTGTACACCTCTGGGTGTGTACACAAGGGCACATGTGGAAGTATGTACAGAGAGAGGAGCAGGTGCATCACCATTACTCAATGGCCTGGGATTCTTGCTGGGCTCTTGTGGGGATCTCATATCTCAGTGCATACACAACTTAAGACATCTAGCTCCAACCAGAAAAACAGCCTGTCTTTGGGTCTCCCACACATGGAGATACAGGCCCAGTCATGCTCTAATCTTCCAACCTTCCTTGTTGTGTGGCTCCACCTCCCAGCTATGCTGACCAGACAGCCCCGGACCTCACCACCCAGCACGTAGATGTGCCATCCAGAGGTGTATGTAGAGTACATGCCCTGGGCACTTAGGCCGTATTGCCACTGAGCAATTTCTATTAGCCAGTTTCCACCGCCAGCTGTGAGAACGCCAGCATGATAAAGCTAACTGCCTTCAGCGCTACTTTCCGTAGACACCTCCCTCTAGTGCCTGCCTAGCAGGCCCACACAGCCCTGGAAGCGTGAGTGGGCCGCGGGCACTGATGGCAACCCTGCTCTGCCAAGCTCCGCCTCGCGTTGCTCTTGCCGAGCTCCTGCATCTCCAAGCGTGCTCGTGGGTGTCGTGTTGGAGCGAGGGAAACAGGTTTATAAAAGCGTTTGTTCAGCCAGGACCCGCCTCTAACCCACCAAAGCGCCCCTCTGCGCTGCACCTCTACCTTCAGCTCATTGGCTTACTTTCCTTGGCCACAAAGGTCTGCCTGCAATCCCAGGCGCCCCAGGGGGAGTGAGGTGTCTGGAACCACAGGTCAACGGTTCAGCCCACCAGCCTCTCTTCAGGAGGAGGAGGCTTTCTGCTCTCTCAAATTTAAAGCTTCGGAAACCCTTTACCGGATCGCTAAGAGTTGAAACAATTTCTCAGCACTTAGCACCGACATAGGCTCCCCTGACGCTCAGAAAACAAAGCAAACTAAAACTCAGAATTCAAGTAAAAGCAGGGACCCTGATCAGCCAGGCCCCACCCGATTCGGATCCCACCGGGTTCTCGCACCTTGAGGCGCGCGTGGGCCTCGGCGGCAGGCAGCAGGCGATGACCGCGGTGCGAACCCAGCGAGGCGCACACTCCGCACACGAGCACGCGATCCTGCTCACAGTAGATGCTGAGTGGGTCTAGGTGCTCCTCGCAGTGGCCCTGCGGCACCTGCGCCAGACTCTCCACCAGGCGCGCCAGCTGCAGGTTGGTGCTGAGAGCTTGCGGCCGCGTGGGTGCTTGACAGCTCGGGCAGGGCACAGTACCGTCGGCCGCCGGCTCCCCGCCCACGCGGCTCAGGCAGGCGCGGCAGAAGCTGTGGCCGCATTCGGCGGTCACAGGCGCATCGAACAGCTGCAGGCACAGCGGGCAGGACAGCTCCTGGTGGAGCAGGCCGGGTGCAGCTGACATGGCGAGTCTGGGGGGAGAAGGGTCGGTCAAAGGAGCCCACCCCAATCCCTACCTGCAGACCCTAACCCCCGCAGCAAGAAGGCACCGAAATAAGACCCTCTTATATCACAAACAGGAAGGGACTTAAATTCTGGCCAAGAATGGGGTACTCAGTCTCAGCCTCAACTACCATCCTCTTTTTCTCAACTCCAGTTCCTAAACACCAGTGTGAGGCCCAAACATAGTCTTACCTATAGTCTGTCCTTGCCTTTATCTTAGCCCGAGGCCTCAGTCTCTGATCCAAGCTTTGGTCCCAGGCCCTACCTCAACTCCAAATTCTCCAGAGCCCCCACCCCTCATCTCATGCCTCCAAGTTCCCCAGCCCTCTTCTGGCCCACATCCCCTGGCCCACAGAACTCACCGGTCTAATCGGGAATATTAGGCCAAAACAGACTCCCGGGAGGCCCAATCAGGGTCAGGCCTAGTCTCAGGCTGGTCAGAACTGTGTCCGAAGACAAGTGAGGAACAAGCCGCAAGCTCAGCTCAGGGGAAGATGGGCACTAGAGGACGAGGCTAACAGGGGCAGCTGGCGGTGAAAGTCATGGGTGTTGGACTCACGGTGAACAGCCGACAGGAAGTCAGCCTGAGCCATGGCCCCAGTACTATATTTAGCTGCCCTGCCCACCCTTTCCCATCACTTCTAGAAACCGTTCTAAAAGTGAAGACTGAGTGATCAGCGGGTGGGTATCACATGTCAGGCCACCTGTCCTGACCCATCCTACTGTTTCCTCCCCCACCCAGGCTGAAGTTGTTGTGTCTCAATTTACCCAGATGACCACTCAAGACTCTCTGGATCAGTAAGGAAGCCTTTATTAGCTGGCCAGCGACTACAGCCTCCCTAAAAGCAGGAATGACCGAAGCCCCGACCCAATTTTTCAAGGAGTATTTATACATAGACAGTCAAACATTATCTTGCACAAACCAGGGATAGGGTATTTGCATAAGCCATTAGGGTGGGGCTAGGGGTTCATCTGCTGGGACAGTTGTCTTGAGAGACCAGGGGTTGGATGTATGCATAAGCTGTTTGACAGAAGCAAAAATAAGCTATGGTTAGGAGGGGGACGGGAGGTGCAGCTGAAAAAGTTCCTACTTAAAACTCTTCTACTCAGGCAGGATTTGAACATGCAGGGGCTACTTATGATTCAAAAATGGAGTCAATTAGGGTAACTTTACAAAGCCAGAGCTCAGGGCCTTCCAGGACACAGGGTTTCCTATAATACAGAAAAGCCAGAAATATGAGGGATATTGTTCTCCCCTTTCTCACCCATTCCCCCTTGCCCACACTCTCTAGTCTGCCTCCTCCTCTCAGGCAGCCTCTCCTCCACCTTTTACCTACTCATTCCCTAAGCATATAGCTCATCAAAGTCATCTTGACAGTCATATCCCAACCTGCAGGAGGTCAGCATCCCACTCCATCCCAAAAGAGTTTCTCCAAGGTCTTTTGCAAGCTCTGGGCAAAGTGGACCTTCATAAAATCCTTAGAGAATGAATGATAGAGGGACAGATAATTGAGTAGATGAATGAACCAAATTCAAAATCTGCTGCCCAGAACTCAGTCCTACCCTTGGAGCCTTAGGCTTCGAAGTTTATCCTGCTAAAGATCATTCTAAAATTCAAGGTATTTGTCTTGACGTAGCTGAGGCTTTTGACCAAAGTACAGGCCTAACCCCATTTTGTAACTTGTTGTTGATGTGGTTGGGTGCCATCGAGTCAGCTTCAACTCATAGTGACCCTATGTACAACAGAACAAAACACTGCCCAGTCCTGCCCCATCCTTACAACTGTTGCTTTGTTTGAGCCCATTAGTGATACCATTGTGTCAGTCTATCTCATTGGGAGTGGGGGTCTTCCTCTTTTTAACTGACACTTCACTTTATCAAGCATGATGTCCTTCTCCAGGGACTGGCCCCTCCTGATAACATATCCAAAGTACAAGAGATGCAGTCTCTCCATCCTCACTTCTAAGGAGCATTGTAACCGTATTTCTTCCAAGACAGATGTTTGTTCTTCTAGAAGTCTATGTTATTTTCAGTATTCTTCACTAACACCATTATTCAAATGTAATCATTCTTCTATGGTCTTCCTTATTTTGTAACTTAGAAGCTGAAATGTAAGCTTGACCCATTTTGTTCCCTTAGCCTATTTCTTCTCAGACACTGCTTCTATTCATTGTTTTCAGAAACATGCCTGCATATGTTTCAACAGCATCACAAAGATGACTTCTTGCCTACAGGTGTTAAGGTGTGCAATAAAGTTTTGTTTTGTTTTTAAATACTGGTCAGTCAATATCCCACTATTGTAATTTTCCTCCACATTTTATTCCCAGCTACTAATCACAGCTCTTTGCAAACAATTGGGTATTGTTTGCCAATTAGAACTTTTTCTCCCTAAATCCGAGGGGAATCTAACCCTACTTAAGCCTTGAAAGCTGTCAAGTGATGGCAACCAATCAAAACTGTTTTCTCTGTAGCTCTCTACTTGTAATGTTTGTCTTTGTAAACCTCTGTAGGTGAAACTGTTCTTCAGAGCATTAAATGAAACTGCTTTGCCTTTCTGCCTCCCAGGTTTACACTGTACTTTTACTCCCCCAATACACTTTTAAATTGTACCTTTACTAGTGTATTGGTCATAACAACTACAGAATGACATACATGGCAGCATCAACCTGAACTCAGTCGACAAATGAAAGAGTCAAGAACAGAATAAAATTATAAGAACAGAGGATCTGGGAGGTCAGTCTAT